CGGTTGGGCCTCAGACCCTGTGCCCAGGCCCGAGACTTACAGTTGAGGGCCTGGGCCCTTTTTAGTTGGGCACGGCCTGACTGTTTGCTGTATCTGCGCAGGACCCCTAGGTAGATGCGTCGGCAGTACTGTTTTCCCCAAGGTCGACGGCCTGCTTCTTAATGTATCGGCCCTGCTTTGTGTGTATGTGCCCAGGCGCAACTTTCGTGGCCTGGGCCAACTGTACGATGCAGCTTAGTGAGGCTCGCGCGTTCACTCAACCAACTGGCGCGCTGCAAGAGCCTAAATACCCCCATATGGAAATGTGAGAGGCGGTTAATGGAAGGCCCAAAATTCGGCGAATTTTGGTGAATTTTTCACCGAAACTGTCATATTTCCCTGAATTTTTACTCTTTTCTCGGTTTTTCTTTTTACCTCTTATATATGTGCTTTAGGGTATATTTGTGTTCAATTTCAACGTATTTGAAGCAGTAACAAAAAACTTAGCAAAAACACCAGACTCGAAAAAAGCTTTAGCGAACTCCGAAAGCTACTCCGAATACGGATTTACAGTGCTCTTGAGTTTGATTTTTTCGGTTTTTTTTTGCCTGATTGGATTTTTGATGTTTGTATTATGACCCTGCATAGTTTATTCGCAAAAGTTTCGACAACATTGTTTGTAGCGACGCGGCGAAAAACCCCGAATTTTTGGCCTTCCATTAACCGCTAGTGGAGAGGCGGTTAGTGCTTTTGCTAAGTTTTTTGTTACTGCTTCAAATACGGTGAAATTGAACACAAATATACCCTAAAGCACATATATAACAGGTAGAAAGAAAAACCGAGAAAAGAGTGAAAATTCAGGGAAATATGACAGTTTCGGTGAAAAATTCGCCAAAATTCGCCGAATTTTGGGCCTTCCATTAACCGCCTCTCTGTGATGGGAACTGTGCTGTCTTAGCGAAAGGTGCAAGTTTGGAGGCGTGAAAAACAGGGGAAGTGCGTAAGTGACCAGGTTTACGAATGACTTACGAGGGACCATCCAGATCATTCCCTACTATGTCTAAGGCTTCCCAGGGACCGATAGACTGAGGCATTAGTTTCCTAGAGATGCCAAACTCCTGTCCCAGCTCACTAGCCTTGACCTAGACACGTTCCCCTACGTGAAATGTGGACTGTCGGCGACGTTTATTCTCAGAAGCAATCATGACTTCTTGAGATTTCTTGATGTGTTCGACAGTCTGCGGCAACAGTTTCTCATACTGGACACCAAATTCAATGGTTCCAGGCATTGCAGCAGTTCGGTTTTCAGGCAGGAGGAAGTCTAGAACAGATCTAGGCTTCCACCCCAGATGCAGTTGATTAGGACTGACGCCTCTGGTGTTGTGTACAACATTATTGTACAGGCTGGCGATGAGAGGTAATTTCTCATCCCAGTCATCCTGGCTGGGCTTGATGTAATGCCTCAGCAGATGCTGCACCACTCGGTTCATTTGTCCAGCCTGCCCATCTGTTCAGTGGCCTTTTTCCACATCTCGCGTGTGAATCTCACATCTCTGTCACTAACGATCGTCTTCGGAAGTCCAAAGTCACGCACCCAGTTGTCCATGAACAACTTGATAACGTGCTCAGTCTTGGCAGTCTCTGGCATGGCGATTAGTCTAGCGTACTTAGTGAACATATCCACTAAGACAAATATGTGCCTCTTGCCATTCTTGCTGGTCACGAGAGTGTCCATGAAGTCCATGGAGATACTCTGCCCTGGACCAACAGGAATGGGGAGAGGCTTGAGTAACCCAAGCGGAGCTTGAGTTCGCGGCTTGTCCCGATGACAGACCTGACACGTCTGTACGTACTTCTTTGCATCATCCAACATGTTAGGCCACCAAAATCGCTGTACTAAGTTAGCACTAGTCTTCTTATAGCCGAAATGTCCTGTTGCGTCATGGCATTCTCCTAAAAACAAACTACGCAAATCTTCCCTATATGGAACAACTAATCTCTTAAACCCTGCCTTCTCAAGAAAGAGCAACCCATCCACCATCACAAACTCATCAGTGGTGGCCTTGTCTTTAGCCTGTAGTTTGTTGATGATGTCCATCGTGATGGGATCTTCCTTGTAGGCTTCCTCCAAGGATCGAGTTACGTCCTCAGATAGGCCAAACTCAGAAATCAACGCACCCAGGTAATCTGCCCTTCTAGACAACGCACCTGCAACCTTGTTGTACTCTCCCTTCACATAGTCTAGTTTGAAGTCATACTGATCTATGACTTCAATCCAGCGTTTGAGTGCATCGGAAAGAACCGGTTGCGTCTTGATCTACTTGAGGGTCTGGTGGTCAGTTCTCAAATAAAAGAACCTCCCTAACAGATAGTGCCTCCAGTGGACGAGTGCCTTTTAAAGAGCATAGAGTTCCCTCTCGTAGGTGGACTTTGCCAACTTCTTTGATGGCATCTTTTTGCTCATGTACTCGACCGGTCTCAACTTTTTCCTGTCCTGTTGAGCTAGCACTGCGCCAATGTCGTATTGGCTTGCGTTAGTGGTTACTATAAATGGCCTTTGCGGATCGGGTACCATGAGAACCTTGTGGTGCGTGAGAGCATGCTTCAAACGTTTGAACGCTGCCTCACACTCGTCAGTCTAGTCCCATGGAATATCAAGTCGAGTTAGATCAGTGGAGGGAGATGCGATCGTGCTATAGTTCTTCACGAAATTGCGGTAATAACCACACATTCCCAAGAATGATCTGACCTCAGTCACAGACTGGGGTCGTGGCCAGTCCCTAATGCTGGCCACCTTTGCATTTTCGGGCCTAATCCCGTCCGCGGATACTTCATGACTTAAGTACAAGATTCGAGTGCGACCGAACTCGCATTTCTCTGCGTTTATCTTATACTTGTGTTGTCGGAGGAGTGAAAGTACTTTGGCTACATGCTGAGCATGCTCCTCGACAGTTCTACTAAAGGTAAGTATGTCGTCGAGGTACACGACAACAAACTTGTCCAAGTAGTCATGGAAGATCCTATTCATGGCRTGCTGGAATGTACCCGGCGCATTGCAAAGGCCAAAGGGCATCACCACAAACTCGTACAGACCGTACCTGGTCTGAAATGCGGTTTTGTGCTGGTCCTCTGGTCTAATGGCAATCTGATGGTAGCCGAATTTTAAGTCTATCTTTGTATAGTACTTACACCCCTGCACCCTATCCAATAGTTCGATGAGTGGTAGAGGCTCTGTAATCAATGCACATCCTTAGTGTTCCCCCTTTCTTTGGAACGAAAAGAACTGGTGAGCCAAAGGGGGAAGTGCTAGGCCGAATCCAACCCTTCTTTGTGAGCTCTTTCAGTTGCTGACGCAGCTCGTCCAACTCGGCCGGAGCCATCCTATATATTCTCCCTTTAGGTGTCTTGCTACCTGGGATGATGTCTATGGCATGAGCAACCTCCCTGTCTACAACTCTTGAGGGCTCCTCGAACACATCAGGGTACGTAGCGACGATGGTCTCTATCTCTGGGGTGTTTTAACGGCCTCCCCTTTTGCAGAGACATAGACTAAGTACATTCCTTCCTCTTGGTTCTGTTTATAATAATTATAGAAAGTTGATGCGCATAAGCACCCATAGGAGTCTATTAACCTATTGGCTTTGTACTTGGTCAGTCTCACGGTTCTCCCACTAGGCAACTCGTGCTTCAACACCTTCTTGTCCCAGTCAAACTGGGGCTTGGCAACCTCGAGGTAGTACATGCCCAACAACATGTCAAAGGACAATTCGTCGCTCACTAGGAATGATATCATATGGTTTAATTCTCGTCCTGGGTAGGAGAAGGTGCAGACTACATCTTTAACGTAGTCCTCCACCATCATGCGCTCTTTGTTGGCCAAAGTAGATGTTGGTCTACTAAGGCGCTGCACCCGGTCCTTTAGGCACGGTCTGTCAACGCAGTCGTGACTTATGAAGTTTCGCGTGGAGCCAATGTCTACGAAGGCGCCGCACTTGCGACCACCCACATCAACTTCCACAACAAAGTGCTCCCCTCTAGGACCTGTACTCAGTGCCACCCAGGACTCACGAGGGTCCCTTGCCGACCACTCACCTTGAAGGTCCTCTAAGGCCTCAGACACATCGAACGTACAGAGTATGGTTTGGTCCGGATGTGTCTGCGGGGTGACTAAGGAGTCAATAGCTTTGGCCAACTCTTGAGTCGGGGAGGGTACATCACCCGATTCAACGAGAGTAGAAGCAGCTACATCTTCTACCGGCGCTAAGTGTTTCCCGAGCTGGATCTTGTAGGGGCCCCAGACTGAGAAGAAGGAAACCCACCCTTAGGAGGGATCTTCTGCGAGACCTTGGGGTTCTTACATTTAAACTGTGTATGGCCGTACTCACCGCAGTTAATGCAAGCACCACGCGGCCAACGATCTCACCACACTTTCTAATCCAAGCCTGCTCTAACCCAAGCAGCTATTTTGTTTGGGTTGGTGGCTTGCCCCTGACCCCTTTGTTGACCGCCCTTCCCGCGGCCTCCTGCCTTAGTCTTCACTACCGCGGCGAGGTTGCTACCCTCATCACTCTCCTCGTCGTCTAACTCTGTTCCCTCCACAAGCTCAGAAACATCATCGATCTCAGTTTGATTCCCATCGGAATCCACCATCATCAATCGACTACCCTTCGTCTTCCACTCTTGTGGAGTCTTCTTCTTTCTCCCGTCCGCAGAAGGGGTTTGAGCACTAGCCAGCGTAGCCTCTAAGTCTAGGGCCCTCTTGCTGAATGTCTCAAACGTGTGATACTCTCTGCGAGGTTCGCTGGCTAATAAGTTCTTGATATAGTGGGAAGACATCTCAAGAACGTGGTCAACAAGACCTGTGGATTGTACTCCACTCCTGGGACAACGATTAGGCGCTCTACGGCCGTGGTAAGCTCTCGCACTGACTTGTACTTCCTAGCATCAAGCTTCAGTAATCCATCAGTGGCAATTTGTGCCTGCTAAGGGTTGTGCCAACGCGCTTCCACTAAGTCCATAAAGCTTTCTAAGGTGTGAGTCAGCGCCCAGTCACCCATGTTCCTACCGAACCCCTTTGAAGCTACTAATCCATTTAACCAGCGAGCTCCTGAACCCTCTAAGTAGGATGCAACAATTATCAATTCCTCTTCTACCAATGTCCTCTTTGCCCTCACCCAGATTGGAACCGTTCTCGACCACGTGTCAAGAGCCTCATCCTTCTTGTCTCCTGAGAAGGTTAGAGGTGGTTTCAGAGGGGTCTTGGGATACCAAGGAAATTGTTGTCCCGCTGGCGAGACAGGTGGCGACTGTGGTGCACCAATCGCAGGACCGGAAGATGAAGAAGCAACAGTCTGAGATAAGGCTATTGCTGATGTACCACTTGGTTGTGATCCAGACTGAGCGGCATAGGGGCCTTTAGTCGCTGAGAATGGCAGCGATGGCAAGACTGCTGGCCTGATTCCTGGTTTATGCATGCCATTCAGGATCTGGTCTAAGGTGTCCTAGATTGTATCCAGTTTGCTATCCATGTATGCATGCATGGACAGGATGCTCGCCTTCAGAATCTTTTCATTGTTACTAAGGGTCGAGTCATCGAACTCCTCTCGCGCAGCCTTGTCTGCCTCCCTACCCTCTAGTCTGACACTTCTGTCCTCCTCTAGCCTTAAGCGAATCCTCTCGACTTGCAGGAGCTCCATCTGCTCCCTAGTGCGTGGAGGCGGCGAGCTGAACTGCGAGCCCGCCATCTGACAAGTGCCAGCTCCTGACGTACTAGAGATGGACTGTGAACTGGTCGGCATACCCAGCACTTGACCAGTTGAGTTTGCAGCAGAAGTTGCTGATGAAGTAGCCATAGCTACAGCGCTAGCTGCTGCTGCTGCTAACGCATGTTAAGCCGCTGCTGTTGCTGCTCTCGCAGTCTCTAGATTGCGGGCTCTTGTCTCGGCCCTAAGTCTTCTCTCATCTCCTGGTAGTAGAACTTGGAACGCAACAGGTATCCTAGCGGTATCCTGTCGTGTCTGCCTCCTATCGTCAGATCTCTCCTCCCCACAGTCCGATTCGCTCATGGGCTAGGCAGACGCTGTCTGCACTAATGTCCTCTTTGAAACCTACCGCAGCATGCGCCTGACCAGATCTAAAAATAAATAATTAAATAAATGTCCGGCGAGTTACCTAGACTACTATTCAAGTGGCATCAACAGAACCTACACAAACTGTACACATTGTCTAAGTCTATCATGATTAGTTTTGCACAGAAGATTCGAGAAGAACTGACTATGGTAGATTACAGTCCTACTCTAGTCTGTCTGTTAGGTGTCAGCAGTCGGTCAACCAACTAATCAAAAATAGAACTTAGACTAATGTGGGCAGATGTATGCACAATGGAAATGATAGTGATGTTCAGTTGAGTTCACAATTGGAATCCCCTTCCCCTGTATCCAACGTACCAATGAGCATCATCAAGCTGCGGTGTCTAAGGTGTGCAACCACGACCCACCCTGTGCCCAAGAAGTATGCTTATGACCAGCATGCCCTTTATTTACCCTCGCGTGCAACGAGCCTTACGTCTGACTGATCTGGCTGATCAAGAGGCAATTTAAGGACAGCCCCCAAGAGTCCTCAGGAATTCTTTAACGTTGCAATCAGGACGACGATCACAATCAGTGGATAGTTCAGACCCCAACCATAAATGTTTATAGACGGTTGGGAGCGTCTACGTAGGACTGGTCAGTGCGCACACCCCTTCTATCAGCGCAACAAAGAGCCTCAAATGGTGACCGTGACCCGTGCTTCGACCAGGGCCCTTCAGAGGCACCACCCTCTCCTGCCAGATGCTCCACCGGGAAGAATCGTGAATAAATAAAATTACAATCTCACCAAAGAGAGGACACTCAAGTTGGACTCACTTCCTCACAGTAAGAAGAGATTGAGAGGGTAGATAAGGAATGGGAACAACGTACCTGGAGATAGCTGCCCCCAACCACAGATTTCTCACCAATTGGGCCGACGTGCATTTCGAGGACCGGTCAATAGCCTCGGTACCACCCACAATGCAATGCAGTGCCACCTCAGCCAAAATGCCACATCAGCATACTCTCATCATCATGCGTACACCCGCTGTCGCCACAGCCTTCCAGCGGCCGGCCTCTCTACCTAGGTCCCGTTAATCAACCAGCGCAATGTATCCTTACTGCACATGAAGCATCGTCAGCGCACCAAGTCACAATGTCGCCGGTGCCAGGTAAGCGGCGATCGTCAACCAGCTCCGATACCAAATTGCAAGGAATATGAGTGTGAACGACATACGTAAAACCAGATTGCTAGATCACACAGCTGTCCAAGTAGTCGTGTCCAAGCAGAGAGTACAAAATGCACCGAGAAACCATCCATATAGAGCAATACAATGAAGTAATGAGCCAATGTTCAAGCCCGTAGGCCACACCAACACAGTATCCAAAGTCGCTCTCTCTGTTGCTTGGTGCCCAGCGCCCAGTCTACCCTACCCGACTATCCTACCTACAGCTGGTTCATGCAACAGGCTCACTTCGACACATGAAGACCAATGTACATGACTGTCAACTCCGTAGCCGACCTCTGTTCATGCACCACGTACGTATCTCGTCACCCTCACTCAGACCTTGATTACCCTATACAGCGCCTCCTTCCTTGGAGACCACCCAATTGCCCGCTGTACACCCTGGCGCCCAGCAGCCCGGCTATGGCTGCCTGCGCCCCGCTGCCCTGCAGCGCCCCACCTCACCTCTCGCGCCCCGTCAGCGCCCTTGGCAGC